GAGAGATAGCGTGTTAGTGAGGGAGTGAATGATCGAGTGAGACAGTAATTGATTGAGTGAATGATTAAGTGATTGAATGAGTGACTGATTGATTGAGTGTAAGAATGAATGACTATGAGAGATAGCGTGTGAATGAGGGAGTGGCAGAATGATTCGTTCAGTGCTCGAGTGTCTGCGCGAGTGAGTGTCTTGCTGACGTGTCAACCTGACGTACACTTGTAAGCGTGCACATGCGCCGGCAGATCGTACACCACCGGCCCCTCGTCCGGAATGTGCGCATCCTCAACCAGCTCGAGGGTGCAGATCCTGCGCCGCTGGTCGAATTGGAAGCCGTCGCACAACGTCTTGTAATGGTTCGACAGACAGTGCTCCGCGCAGTCGTCCGAAATGACAATGTCCTTCGAGACGACAGTCGCATTGGAGGCCAGAGAATAGGTCACGCGTCGGAAGAAGCGCAGGTTATTCTGCATCAATTCGCTCGCCATGTCGTACCAGTCGTGATTGCTGTCCAGTATTTGGCAGTTTGTCACTTCCACGTGCATACTTGTGTTCTATTTGTAAAATTTGTTCTTATTAACACTCACTACTCACTCTAATAACTACTTATAACTAATTTATGCATAAATAAATAAATAAATAAATATATTGATTCTTTCACTGTTACATATACTATAATTAATAACGTGATTAAAAAAACATTATATTTTCTAATATTGGTGATTTGTCAACATTTGTTCGCTTATGCCTGATTGTTATGCTTAATTTATGCATTTATTTGGTATTTTTCTTATCATCCAGTGAGTCAGTGTCAAACTGATGCTATTGTCACGACATGGCGACTCTTTCCTCATCCAAACGGTTGTCATCCTGGCCAAAATCAACGTATGAAAGGGAAAACTGAGGATTTTTGAGAGCAAAAACATCCAGAAATGATGCACAATCGTGACAGTCTTACTCACATTCTCAGACAAGCTGTGCGTTATGCCGAAAAAGACAACAAAAGGTGGTGGCTTGAGCCAAAGTGTTACCTGGTCGGGCATTAAGAGATTGAGCGGAATTTCGAAGGAAATCTCTTCATTCGCGATATTGAATTGCACTTGTTCAATTACCCTTTTTGCTAACGGTTGAGGTTGGGAGTGTAGGAAGCTGGCTGTATGTGAAATGGAAGAAAACAAAAGAAAAAAAATCCAATCAACAATGCATCTAACTGGCTAATTCTGAGTTAATGCCGTCTTACTTTCCAAAAGTTACAGTTCTTTATTACTAAACTTTTCGTATTCATTCCATTTTTCCCATTTATTTTGTTCAACTCATTTTATTGTATTTTAATTTGTTAATAAAAGTTCTGTTTTGAGTGATATTTTCTTTTCAAAATGGTTGAGCCTACTTTCATTTCGAGTGAAAGTCTGAGGTGAATAGCTTCCAAAGTCGGTTGCACCGGAAGACGACGACGGATTCCTCTTGACCAGCTGTTTCCGAGGCAATCATCTTCGATTCCGGT